TTTTGAGAACGATGAGGGCAATGAATGTACAAATGTGCTTTACACAATTAATGTATGTATGGATTGTGATAAGAGTTGTATGAGCCCCTAATGTTTAAAGAAAAAAAAATCCCACCAACAGATGAGTGGGTGAACAAAATGAGACCGATGCGCACAATGGAATATTACTCAGCCATAAAAAGAAATGAAGCCCGGACACGCGTGACAACATGGGTAAAAGTCCATTGAAAAGGGACGGGGGGCGGACAGAGATGTCCTGCCAAAGGAGCCCGGAGTCCGTTCCTGGTGGTAGACTCCCCTGGAAAGGATCGCAGAGGTGGTGGGCAACCTGATACATGTACTCCTTGCTACCGAAGTATCCATGCAGAAGCTGACCCGGACAGGTTGTTCCTGTACACACATTACCATAATGAAATAACAAAGCCAGAAATGGGGCAGTTCTGAATTAGCAAGTCTGGGAAGAATGGTGCAATTCCAGGAGACTCAAAATGCAAATAACGTCTGCTTTTCCTGCTCCCAGGCCGCTGCTCTTCCAGACAAGTGAGTGCGTGGCCAGCAGCCCTGCCCTGGGCGGCATCATCCCACACAGTGTCGCCATTCAGTTTCTGTTCACCAGAGCACCCGCGGAGCTGAAATCCCCTCTCCAGGTAACCCAGCACCCGCTTGTCTTTACCTGCTCCCCTGTGCCGGCCAACCCCTGCTCGCTAGGTGTGGCCTGGGTCTTCTCCGGCCTGTTCTGTCTGGCGGTGGATGGAGTCCGGAAAAGAAAAACACCCACTGCCCGGCCCTGGCTTTCACCGCCATGCAAAACATTGACCGCGAGTCCAGAATCCCAGAATCAACCCTTTAAATTATAACGGCACGAGGAAGTCAGGTTCCCGAGGAGTTTTCTCTGGAGGCCCCATTTCTAAAGGTGCCCTTCACGGGCACCAAGGGCTGCAACCCCTGCACACCGCCCTCAGATGGTGTTTGCATCATTTCGCCTCGACAGTCCCTGGGGCCCTTTATTCCCTGAAGAACTCTGATGTGCTCTTTCTCTCTGACTCTGCTCCCACGCGGCAGAGAGCAGAGTGGTCCCACGCACGCTTCTCCCAGTGGCTGGATGACCATCCATCTGAGAAGGACAGGCTCTTCCTCATCAGGTAAGACCCGGGGCCCAGGGGCGCCTGTCTATGCGAGAAGCCTGGGGGCGGCGGGGGGTGGTGGTGCGCGTGTTGCACTTTCTCCTTCACACAGGCACAGGCCGCCTAGAGCGCGTTCTTGCGACTGGAGGTCACAGGAGCCTTTCTGTGCTGTCACTACTGAGTCTCCGTGCTCTCCGGTGAGCCATCCAGCTGTGCCTGGGGCGGCCCGTGTGGGATCCAGCCCCACAGCCAGATGGGTCCTAAGGGATGGTTGTGTAATGCAAGGGGAGAGATTAAGAGACAGACGAAGGTTTTGGGGTGCTCACCTCCACCATGGCTTCAGGATCCAGGTCTGAGCAGAGAGAGCTAATGTATTTCCACCAGTTTATATACGCTCAGAGCATATAAGCCCCCCTAATTACAGGTGTCCACATAGGTAATGAAGTGGGCTGTACCCTAACCCCAGAGGTCCCTGAGTTCATTGGAGGAGTAACCTGACGCCAGTGCTGAGGCCAGGTAAGGGGAGTGACTGTCCCCTGAGCAGGAAGAGTAATAGCAACATGTCTGCTCCTACAGATAAAGCTGCCAGCCAGATAGCACTCAGCATGTGCTTGTAAGAGGTCACTTTAAGGCAGCACGATTATGGGAGGATGTTGTGGGGATTAATCTTAATTATGAGAATGTGACTGGGACTCATCTCTAACTCACAAGGGTGAAGGCCTCCCTCCACCCAGAACCCTGGTCTCCCAGGCTTCTTAATTGTGAGAATGAAGAATTTGTCTGCATGCATTCCCTTCCTGCTCCTTAGTTTCCCACCAGCTGCCAGAGCTGTGCACTTCCCGTTCAGAAAGCCAGCTTCGCTGTGGAGACTCCCTGCCTCAGCTTCATGTTTTGGCTTCATTCGTGTGTGGCAGTTGCTGAATTGGTAGGGCAGGGCGTGTGAGTAAACTGAGAAACATCCAGACCGGACACAATTATTAGCAGTCAAGGACAACACTCCACCCAAACAGCCACTGAGATCCCCATGTGGTGGCTCACCCACGTGTGCACACACACAGCATCCACCCCTGCCTGTCCTGTAGGACATGGTCCATCGGCACTGTCCTCTGCGTTCCAGAGAGATGCCACCATTTCCTTCTCGGAACTCCTTCGAGACGAGCGGATTCGACCGTGTGACTGAACTCTCACCGTGGGGTGTGCCAGGCCTGCCTAGGGACCGAGGGGCAAAGTCAGCAGACATGGCCCTGCCCTGGGGCCCTCCCGCGTCACACGGCTTATGAAATATAAGCCTGCATGAAATATAAGTACCTGCATGCATATACGTGCCTGTCTGCACATATGAGAGGGCTTCAAAACGTGCCTGGAAAATGGAATGAAAAGAGGGTGGGATTTTCCCACAAACCAGGAATTCCCTCAGATGCCCGGAGGCACATGGGTGTGTGCACCCATGTTACCTGCACACTTGGACGCAGGCACACACACAGGCTCTTTGCCTGCTGTTGTTGCAAAATGATGTGATAGATCCTTGACCCAAGCCTGCCTGTCTTGTGCACTTGCTGGTGTCACAGTCATGCGGCCGTGCTGTCACACTGCCCACGCCTGTGCTGCTGTTCCCATCGCCAGACAAACACATGCTGCAGTCTCGGGAGTGCTTCTCCCGGGAGCGCCACTGAGCGCAGGCCTTGGCATGGGCAGGAGCAGCTGTTCTGGCCCCAACCTCTTTCGTTGCTCGCTCCATTGTCTTCTGTCCCACCTCTCGTTCCTGCTCCTTCGGTCTCTGTGGCTCCCAGTGCGGCACGGGGGCTCCAGCCAGCACCCGCACTAGCACGTGTCACCACGAGAATGTCCTACGGAGACTTCCCCAAATCTTCAAAATAGGTCAGCTCTTCTTTCAAACCTGCTCGTCTTTGCTCCCTGCGTCGGTTGAGATGTCACTGTCACCTGATTAGAGACTTTTAAATCACTGCTAATTCCTCCTCCTCTAAACCCACTTGGTTGTACTGAAGTAGCTGTGCAAATCATTCCCCGCTTTCCCAGGAGATCCTAATGCTGGAATCTGGGGGCCATAGCCCTAAACAAGCCCCGCGTATGCCTAAGTGCAGGTGATGAGTTGGGGCTCCAAACCAGAGTGGGGCTAGGCACACACAAGAACCATCGCCTGAGCTCTGCAGGTCCTGGTGCCCGGGCCACCCCTTGACCAGCTCTCCCACAGCCGCCTGAATGGTACCTGGACCAGGGTTTTTCACAGGCAGGTCTCCTGCAGCCAGGGTTGGGTCCCCTGACGGGGAGGGCCACATCCCAGTGGTCGGCGCGGCAGTGTGCCCCCACACCAACCTGTAGGAGTGGCACTGAGCTCTCGTTTGATGCCCGGAGCCAGGTGGACTCCTAGCTGCCCCAGTAGAGCATCCCAACCACCACCACCCTCCTCCTGGCTTTTTACCTGGTACCCTTCTCCGCTGAGCATCTTGCCAAAGAATCTGACCCGCGAGCCTTCCCTGAGCGCAGGTGACTGGTGGTTGGTTACACCTGCCTTCCAAAAGGCCTTGAGTGTGAACCAGGGAGTCCATGCCTGGGGCTGACTCAGGGATTTGCAACGTCTGGGTGCTGAGTCCCCCACCCCCACGCCCCAGATTCCCTCAGCTGCAACATACTTGGGTCATAGATGAGGTCATTGGTAATTCAGTGAGTGGACAGGATTCATTTCTGCCATCTTAATAAGTCAGAACGAGTCTGTCACAAGTTGCCCTGCTGTGGCCACATCACAAGTCTGTTTTCTTTTGCTTCTCTTTAAAAATGCCTCCTGAGCGATTTCACCAGCACTGTTGCTAAGCCTATATTTAGCAACTGAAGATCCTGCTTGGGAATGCTGTCATGCCTTTTAAATAAGGCCTCCCTCCGCTCCACACATGGCTGATGGCAGAGCCTTCAGCCCCAGAGCGGAAAATGGAGCCCTTGTGAGATTTTAAACAAAAACCACCAAGACACACCGCCCCCCACATGCACCCCGGCTGGTGGTGCACTTCAGGCTGTTGGCAAGAAGGGGTCCTTTGTTCTAGAGATGTTCTTTGTTATTGCAAAACGAATTTTGGTCTTGCCTACTGACGTGTCACGCGTGACTGTCTTTCCCCTGTAGCTAAGCCGAGGGTGCACATTGCTCTTTAAATGTCAGTACATTTGTTTTAGCTTGGGGGGGGTGCTTTTTGGATTCTGTTGTTTGAATGCTCATTCTGTTCCTGCTGGCATCAGAGTTGAGGTGGTTATAATGTGGAGCAAGGTGAGGACACGGACCTGCCTGCTGAGCCCATGGCAGATAACGGACTCTCTGCTTTCCTTTGGACACCAGGTGTTTCGGGTTTTTTCAGTGCAAATCTATTGTCAAATAAGAGTACTCATGCTTCCTGAGGCCAGTTGGTCTATGTCGAGGCTGGCTGTCCCTGCATATGTGTGCCCTGTGGCAAGGTGCCTGGTGCAGCCCTGTAGGTGTGGCGGTGGTGAATAGACCGTCTGCTGTGGACCATTCTCCAGCTCTGCAGGCTTGTGGGATCGGCCCACGAGCCCGCTCACTCGTATTCCCAGGGGAGCGTGTGGCACGCCATCTTCTGGTGGCTCTCTTGTCCGTTGCTTTACTTTGGTCTGAGCAGAACACCTTTAGGATGTCCACAGATCTCTGTGGCCCTGATGGCTGTGCAGCGTCCAGACAGTGCTGGTGCCTGAGTCCGTGGACTCTATCGCTGCACGCTACTCGATCCCTGGAGACAGAAGGTACAGTTTTCTCTCCCCTTCTGGTGCCTTCTATGTTGCCAAAGACTTACCTTCTGAGAATTTGGGGTGCCTGAGAGGAAAACCAAGGCAGGTGGGGCCCAGAAAATGCCTGGCACGAAGTGCCTATACTAAACCCACTAGGTACTGAATGCCCGACACAAATCAGTTTTATTCTTCACCAAAACCGCTGCACTTGACTACTTCGTGTCACACCGAGCACCGTTGCCATGTTACCACAAGCTTTTCCTTTGCTGATTTTTTTCTTTCCATTTTCCCAATAAGGGTAACTTAAACATTTTGCTTATTTTGGTTACAAACCAAGAGTTGCGACTAACTCTTACATAATACTTGGCCTGGCTTCCAAGAAAGCTGCTGTTTTGCTCAAGTAAATGAAGTAATTTAATAAAAGTGCTAGAAAATCTTGCTCTGGTTTTATGTGGGAGGAAGCTTAAATCTGTTCCCTCCCGTAGTTCTGACGTTTTTGATGAATACTGAAGAGGGAAAAAAGGAAATCTAAACTCAATTTGAGCTTCCTTCTACATACCGTGCAATTTATGTAATGTCTGACTTTTGCCTGCAAACTAGACTGATTTTGCCCACTTATTAAAAAATGGAGCTAATCCATTCACTGTTGAAACTGTGATATCTGAATTTCCACTCACACACTTCTTAGATGGATACAGTTTCCCCGAAAATAAGTGTCATATTAATTTTTGCCCCCAAAGATGCGCTAGGTCTTATTTTCCATTAAGAAGAATACGGTACACATTGCTTATTAAAAGAGACCTCGCACTTCCTGTCTGCTCCGTCAGTGAGCTGCGCGGAGGCACCTGCCGCTACAGTCCAGAGTCCAGAGTTTGGTAGCTTCGGGGGGCCTTATTTTCAGGGGGATGCCTTATATTTCAGCAAGGCAAAACTGTAAGTAGGTCTTATTTTCGTGGATGTCTTACTTTCAGGGAAACAGGGTAGATTCACCTTAGGCAGCTGAGGTCCCAGGAGAGCACACCCTAGTCTGAGTCCCCGGGGACCACATTTGGGGAGTGGGGAGAACTTGGATGGTACATGCTTTCTTTCCATCAAGAATTCGCCCGAGGCTCAGCTCCAACATGCACCACGGCAGCTCACTAGACACTGTTCTTTGAGCTCTAAATTCCAGGCGTGCACACCTTTTAAGGGCCCTACTGCCCCATGTCTTCCTTTGATTTCCCCTGCACTTCTTTGTCTTCATACTGTGTGTATGTCTGATTAATGTTTCTGTTCATTCATCATGCGTTGTCGGGGCGCCACAGAAATGAGCAGAACAGCCCAACCCTCAGGAAGTCACAGCCTGAGCAGAGACTTACAAGCGAGCAGATGCTCACACTAGCACGTGGGAATGTAGTTCTGCACGTGTAAACATCTTGTTGAAATCACGTCGGGAGACTCAGAGCCCCGGTGCTCACATGCGAACCGTGGAAGCAAACAGAATTTAAGTGCCTTCTGGGCACCTACCAGAGGCCAGGTGCCCCCACTGCCATCGTCTCATTCTCACAGCTGGGTCCCATAGGCAGATGAGCAATTGGCTGGTGGAGAGGCCAGCCCAGCCTGGCACTCAGAGCAACCCGAAGTACCACACTGAACAGAGAACCGAGGCTGCCCATTAGTTAACCCAAGGCAGTTGATGCAGAAGTCACAGACCTTTCCACACGCCCGTGGGGGTGCAAGATGCTTCCATTCTTACAGCCCCTCAAGGCCGTGACCTTTGCAGAGGACTGCCACATCCCCCTGCCCAGGGGCTGGTGGTCCGGACCCCGACCTTTCCTTCAGCAGCTGTGCACTCAGCCACTTCCACAGGCAGGGCTCCTCTTGTTGCAGTCGGACACAAATGCAACAAGGGCTTCAGTTCCGTAGGTGAGAGCCATAGCCACACTGCCTACCGTTGGAAGGCTTGTCCCTTGGCTTGTGCACGGCAGTTCTAGAAATGAGCTTCTTTGTCATGTGGATCTACTGGTACCGTTTTATTCGTGTAACTTTTGACATGCTTTCATTTTGGTTTTCAGGGGAGCCCTGGAAGCTTACGTCCAATCAGTAAGAAGCCGAGAAGGCAAAGAATTTGCACCAGTTTACCCCATAATGGTTAATCTGCTTCAGAAAGCTATGAATGCTCTTCAGTAACAATGTGAAATACTTGTTAATCTCCATTTGTTCGTTGATAGCCCATTCAAAGTTGAGTTAGAACATGCTCTCGATTCTAAAAGGATGTAATTGTCTCTATTTCCTATTGATCCTTTTGTTTACCTCTTACCTAGCACTCATAGGTTTGAGAATAAAATGTCAAAATAGATTTATCACTATAAAAAGGCATCCACCTCTCATCTATCCCAGCTGACTTTCCTACAAGGCTAAGTAAAACCTTCCCATCACAAAAGATTTTCCTCCAATGGGTCCCTGTCACTTTTAACAGGGTCTGAGCTACCTCTACAGACACCATTCCCCCAACTGACCCAAATATCAGCCAAAGCACCTAATTTTACCACAAAAACTGCATTAAAAATGTCCTGTAAACCTCGGCTTATATACAAGTATATATGCTAAGTAGTATACAGCTCAGGGGTCCCCAGATTCTACTGGAAAAAAGAATCACTGGGAGGAGCTTTAAATACTTCTGCTGCCTAGTCAAAGCCCCCATCAACAAAATTCCCATCTCTGAGGTGAGTCAAGGACTCCCAAAGGGTTCCAGTATTGTTTGGGGCCACTGATGTTTTAAATGTCACATTGCATCTTTAAATAAAGCAACTCTGGTTGTGTCTCATTTTATTAAAAGCAGACTGAGGAGGCTTTATAATGGATTGCATTTTATGTCCCACCCCCACCCCCAATTTTAATTATAAATCACAACCTCTTACATGCCTGTGGCTAGAATTCATTGTCAAGTTTGTTATGGTGATGAGGCTAAACTGGTACAGGATAGGTCTTCCATCTTTATAGTTGATTGTTTTGTTCAGAGTAAACAGTACAGTTCAGTCATACCGATCACATCCTCCCACATTGGACAAATGATCTCGAGATACACAAGACTCAACAAGAGATGCCAAGCCCAGAGGACCGCTCGGGAGCGCAGACGGCGAGGACGGCGCTGCCAGACAGCCTGAGCAGCCGGAACAGACACTCTGGGCTCCGAGACAAGAATGTGCGTTTCTGTGGGTCATGGCGTCTGCTTGTTATGCATTACAGCAGCACTAGATACTGAGGCTGTAACCTTGTAACAGTTACGTCAAATTAAAAATAGGCACTATTTGATTCTATACTTTCTATAAATCAGACAGCGTAGACCCCTATGTCAGTATCACACTTGCCTTTTTCTTTGGAATCTGAAGTCCCATCAGGAATCCTTCAAGTGCCAAGATCATGTTTCACTAACACCCAGAAAACCCCTGTTCTCACAACTTAAATATGATATTCAGTCAAGGTCATTCAGCAGAAGTCACGAAAACCCTTTTTTACTCTCCATTTTATTTGAAATAATATACAAGAATATAGTGTGCAAAATTTAGGGGCAACATTATGAAGTGTAATGAACTGAAATCAATTTTACAGCTGTGATTCCTAACCAGAAACACGGCTCGGTAAGTCACATGAAAAGCATGATTGTAGCTCAGAGCAGAAGCAGCTGTTCGCCAGCGTGTCTGCTCTCTTCCAGACAGTTGGAGGAAAGTAAAGTGCGAGTGTTGCACTGCAGTAAGTGCAAAGTCTGCCCCCACCATAAAGACAGGATGACAAATAAGATATTTAGGATACGTGGCTGAGGAGATATAGGGCACAAAGTTAAAAAATACAATGGTGTCGACTGTTAATAGCACCATTACAGTGACTATATTCCAATGCTATTAACTAACAGCTGGACCGGGGCTAGGACTCCATCGGATACAATGGATGGGTGCTGCCACCTGGTGCACAAACTCCGCATCCTGTGGTACTACCGCAGGTGGCTCTGGGACAGGGGCATCACCCACCTGCAACATGCTGTGGCAGCCTCTTGGCACTGGCCAGACCAGGAGTGCCCGTGCTGGGCAGAGGCTGGACTGTGTGGTGGCTGCTCAAAGGAAAGACCAACTCCCAGCGCCTGCTTCATCCCATTGTGTGTACAATACAGGTTAATAAGCAGTAGGGAGCCAATGTATAAACAGCAGTTACCTATTTTTAAATTCTTTTGTACAATTTAAAATAAAACATGTATACAATTCTCCTCTTTCTACTGTACTTTAGCACCACAGGATATCAATTTTCAAGCCTCTATTACCTGATAGACATATATGAAGTTTGGAAGAAAAATAAGGCAATTTGGTTTACAATGTTGATAGTTTTAGCTTGCTTAATGCTCTAATGGAGAAAGCAAATCCTCACTCATATTAAATCATTTCAAGATTCAATGCTATCAGTATTTTATGGTCACACGAATTCAGGACAAATGGTGAGACCTTGATCTTCTTAAGTCTTTCCATCAAGAGTCAATGTTTATGCAAATACAGACTTAAGAACATAAGCATCCTGGTTTAATGTTGTTGTGAGCCCTGTGGAAATAAAATTAAACTCAGTGAATGTTGACAAATTAATACACAGTAGTTCTACATATGAAAACTAAGAGGGGTGTATAAGACAATGGTTATAAATACACATTAAAAAGAGCTTTCTCGAGAGTGGTGATTAAAAAAAGAAGAAAACAAGCTTGCTACTCTCCGAGGGCTAAGCTACCTAGAGAACTTATGAACGTGGCAACAGAGACTAGAAAGAGCAGAAAGGGGACATAGGCCCAGTCCTACCACACGCAATTCTAAACAACTTCCAAATCCAATTGTGCAAACCTCCTTGTACGTGGCAAACTGGCTAGAGTAATTCTATAAATTCTTGAAAAAGTTTAACAGATGTGACCTACCTGTACAACAGTGGTTCTCAACCTTCCTAACACTGCGACCCTTTAATACAGTTCCTCATGGTATGGTGACACCTCCCACCCCAACCATAACATTATTTTCGTTGCTACTTTGTAACTGTCATTTTGCTGTTAGAAATTAGGTGACCCCTGTGAAAGGGTCGTTATTTTGCTGTTAGAAATTAGGTGACCCCTGTGAAAGGGTCGTTTGCGAACCGCTGCATGTCCAAGAAGTCAGCATGAACATGACAGAACAGAGAAGCGGTGGCCGGCTCTCCTGCTGCACAGTGCCCACTTCGCCCCTGCATGTTTCTGATCTGTTGACATGAGCCCATTCTGTTCTACCTGACATTTTCTTATACTTGACCTAAAAATCTCGCAAAGAGCTCTGTCTAGAAGTGGGAAAGCTCTAAGAACCAGATGCACTCAAGGCAGCACCTTTATGGCACAAACATGCTTATCGCCCTTTCGGACCTGAATCTGGAAAGGCGGTGCCCATGGAAGCAGGCTCCGGGAAGGTTAGCGGGCCGCACACCGCTCAGCCTTCTGGGGGCCCTCACCAGTGACAAGAAAGCCTGTGCTAAAGGGCTAATAATAGTCGCTTTTCAGCCCAACTAGAAACGGTTCCAAAATGCCTTTTCCACCTCAATATTCAGGCCAAACATCGCCCTCAAGACTTCACCTGTGCGCGCCGTGAGAGGAAGTGCACTGAACGGTGCAAAGAAAGGCAGGCCTGCCCTTACACGAGGGCGTAGAAACACTCTGGTTTTAAATATAAAAATGCTAAGAGCATCGGCACGCCCTTGTGAAGGTTACAACACGACTCCAACATGGCAGTACAGTTAAGGGACAGATCACGGGGGTCTCACGTAACTATGTGGTGTAACGTACGGAATTGGTTCTTTTCCTTTTCCAACAATCGGGATTCAAACGTTTCTGTTCTTCAGCCAAAGCCTTTGCTTCTAACGTGTACATCCTCCTCTCTTCATTCTTCATTTTCTTCCACCTGTCCCCAAGGATCACACTTATGGCTCTGTAAAACGAACAGCCAGTGCTGAAGACATGCCATTTTCATGAAACTCCTACCAAGTGCTCTTCACACTTATTCCATCCAGGGCCCAAGACCCCAGACACTCATGCACAAGTATGTATAAGCGACTTTACACTGATAGGGAAGTTACAGAGAGGGGCATCTCTTAGGAGAATGGTAACCACAGAAGCACCTGCTACTATTAAAGAAGATAAGTAACTATATTTTTCTTATCCAATTAAGTTGATTCAATTAAAAGTTCTTTCCTCTTTCTTTGAAAAACGAAAAACTAAGGGGAAAGGGGGGGGGGGGAGCGATCACAATGATCGATATATAACCCTCTCCCCAGGAGATGGACAACAGAAAAGTGGGTGAAGGGAGACAGCAGTCGGTGTAAGGAAAAAAAATGTATGAATTATCAAGGGTTCATGAGTAGGGGAGGGGACAATTAGCTGATACCAAGGGCTCCAGCAGAAAAGAACGTGACCCCCTGGAGAACGGGGCTGGTCTGAGTGGTGGGAGGAACAGACGCTCTAAGTTACTCGGTATACTGGCACCACCAGTGCCAAGGCTGTGCAGTTCCTGCGTGGTTCAGTTGTAAACAAGTACATCCTTTGGATCTGGCAAAGATACCCCCGACCCCCCAGCCCAAAGAATGGATGTTCCTACTTTAAAATGTCTTTCCTACCCTTAGATCCTTTAGGATCGGCTCCAGAATGAACATAAGGTGCATTATCTTCGTTCCACACGGAAAATAAAAATGGAACTTCTGCCCAGCCCAATTAAATGTGTCTTAAGATCTCTTTACATCTTAGAGGATACTGCTGCAGTGTTAAAGACATGAGATGAAAAATATTTAAAATCATGGCACTTGGAAAGTAACTATGGATTTGAAAAGGAAACAGTTAATTGGGGGAGGGTTTAATTAAATACAGCTTATGAAAATGAGTTACTGCTTCAGAAAGCTACATTCGGTTGCATGTGGATGCATTAAGAAGAGGTGGGGTGAGTAGGGTCTAGAGGAAGGAAGTGCTTGCCAGAAGAAAGCATGTGGCTGACAGAGTTCTGTGAGGGGCCAAGGACTTTTTTAGGAAATCCTAAGTTTAGTCAATGGATAAACCTTTATATATACTGCTGATCTAGAAGTAGTTTTTTAAAGCATTAATCCTAAACGATGAATACCTTCCAAAATTTTCCGGTCTTCCTTCCCACGTCTTCCAAAAACTTCAGGTGCCTTTTAGTTTTTGTTTGCATAAGAACTACAGCTTTCATAACATCTGCACTTGGTGAAACAGTTGTCTCAGCTGCATTACAATGCTGTGAACCCACGTGAACTGCTGTTGGTTGTAACTGTCAAGGAGCTGGCCTAGGACTCGACTCACAGGCCTGGATCCCTGTGGGTCTCCGGAAGTAGACTGCCAAGCTTTTCTAAGTCCTCCTGCTCGGTCTCAGTGGGCAGTGCCACGGAGAGCTGGGCAGCATCACAGCAACGCCAGCCTCCAGTGAGAGGCCCTGCGGTGTGATGGCTGCACTCAAGCCCAGTCTCCACATGGTGGTGCGGTCCATGACTCAAGCAGCACTGCCCGTGGAGGGCACTAACTGGCTATTTCAAATAGTGCACACTGAGACACTAAAAGTCTGGTTCAGGTAGCCAGAAATTCCCTTCTCAATCTGTAACCCAGGCTTAGAATTAAGTGCTTCAATCTTATTTTCTAGCTTTTCTTTGTTCATAGCAATAGAACGTAGAGGGAAATGAAATATCCCTCCAGAAAAAAAACGCCTGTATTTCTAAACATATCCAAAGAATATCTTTAGTAATTTTGCTTACAGAAACTTCAATTTATTAAAATGCTTGGATGATAAAAATTTAGCAGATTTGTCTATGAAGTGTGAGCTCTAACAGACTAAGGACATTTCTTATTTTTGAAAAGCTACATAGACTGCTACCTTACTTGCCCATCGAGGTACCATAATTGTTGCACACGGTCCCCAAATTCTACTTACAACTCTTCCTGCCCTCCCCACTTTTTAAAACTGTTTAAAAAGTAGATCCAGACAATAAAAAGTTCCAGAGAATTGAACTGACCTGTTATCTTTCCCTGGATACATCTGAGTATATTCGACTCTGTATTTTTTGGCAAAAAGCATGAAGGCATTCATTGGTCTTTTGCACTTGTTAGGAGACGTGGCACTCACAGTCCCTGTGCTGTGGGTTTTGACAGCTTTAGCGTACAAGGAATTGGAAGAGAGCTGTGATGGTCCAGGGGAGCCACAGTTTTTACTGAATCCTGCTCTGGCAAAGTCTTGACCACCAGGGCCCCCGCAAGACAAAGATGCACGCCGCTGACGCGCCATGCTGCTCAGCACATACACTGCAGAAGAATCCAGAGGGGTGAAGTCATAGCTAGAAAATTAAGAACAAACAAAAGGGTTTTAAGTTAATTCGGATGAGCCAGTTTGCAAAACATAGTACGTTATGTAACAACAAAAAGCCATGAGATTTGTCCGGAAATGACAATGTATTCACTCCTACCAAACATTACCAAAGTTCTACTGCTTTGACCTGGCCGCTGCAACTGCTTAAAGGTGATGCCTCACGTAGCTAGGTCATGTAGCCACTGAGACTACCCAGGAAGTAAAACAGAAAAACCCTTTGCTGAAAGACGTTGAGGCCCTCACGGGACTCTGCTAAGACACCTGCTTTATAAACAGCAAGTACCTCCTCTAAGTCTTCCTCACAACCCAACTTCTCTGACTTCAGATTAAAATCTGACAGTTTCAAAAATCGGACTGCTTGGTCTATAGGAGCCTTGATCTGGAGAGGCAGACAGTGACAGACAGGCATCTATCAGGGCCAGCAAGTGACTACCAGAGACAGACAGCAAGCGGGTGTGAGCACTTTAAACTGTTAAAACCAACTACAGGAACTTGTGTGGAGGCAAACAGCCTTAGTATGCCGGAAGGGCCATCCGACAATGCAAGCATTCTAACAGACACCGCACTTAAAAGTTCATAGGGAAGAGGCAGATTATCAGGAAAGGTACATGGAGATGGGCTATTGAGGGGTTTTAACAAGTCGTTGGTGGAAACTTCTATTATCTGAGAGTTCCATTTTCCCATAAACAACGCGGCCTCCCCAGGTTGCATGTTCTCTTTAACACGGCTACTTCGAGTGCATCATTGCCCCTTCTTGGTGTCGGAGCCGTCTAAAAAGGCACCGCTGCATTACAAGAGCCACGTGTTACGATTCAAACCCACAACTGTCTACCTCCAAAGCCCCAGGCTTCCTAACTTTGAATTACAACTCACTGAGGAGACAACAATTAACTCAAGGCAAATAGTAATCATATGAATTAAAAGCCTTAGGTGAAAATTAGTTAAGGTAGACCTTAGCTTTTAATTAAAGCTAAAGGCCAAACCTGGCAAAAGAATTGTTCCAAATGTGTCAACACTCTCTCCCCTACTCTGCACCCTTTAATTCAGATTTTATTCCAAACCCCGCTCTTCATTCTCGCCCCGAAACAGCCGAATAAATACAGAAAAGAGGCTGAGACAAGTTAGAGGACCCTATGGGATTAAACATTACTATAAAGACAGGAAGATGGCTAAACAAACAAGTTTCATGCCATTCACTGAGGATAAATGACCAATTATTAATTCCAAAATGTCTTATTTTTTAATGGTAGTAAATGAAATAAAGGCACTTGCCCCGTGACTCCAGTAATTATTATCCTATCAGAAGTTCTGCAAGTGCCACACTGTCTTAAGCCCCTCCTATGTGTTGTTTCAAGATCAGGAAACTTACACTCACATTATAAAGAAAACTATTAGAAAATTATTAATCTCCACTACAGGGAAATATTTAACTACAACTTGAAATACCAAACTATTTTTTGGTTAGCTGATTCTAAAAATTTGGAAACACCGCCCTCTAGTGGTCCATACTTAACAATCATCCATCCCCCTTATAGATCCAACTTAAACCAATTTGAAATATTTAATGCTAAAATTTCTACCATGACTAGTATTTGAAAGATTCAGGATGCAAGAAAACACAAACCGCTTCATCCTCCGTTACACCTCTAAGATCAGCACTCTTTCTGGAATGTGCCTCGTCTCACACTCTTGTCCATTCTGCACATGCCACTCCTTCAGTTTGGAATGCCCATTACCGCTTTCTTTGATTTACTGTAGTGTGCCTTTTAACATCCCATCTATTAATTCATTTAATCTTCCTTCCAATAGCACCCCCAGTTTAAAGATTAAAAAGGAAAAACGACCGACAAGTTAATATACTTCAAGGTCCACAGTTTCAAAGAGGCTGTGGAGCCAGAATCGAGCTAGCCAGTCCAGCTCGAGCGCTCACGGACTCACCAGGCTACGCTGCCTGTCAATCAGTGTACCACACTGTACACATTTAGCAACCCATTGCCTTCTTTGGACTACACGCAACGTAGGCAAGGTCTGAAGTCTTCACTGGTTTTATACTTCAATGCTCAACACCTACGGACTAGACGCTCACATATCAGCTGAGCAATTCTCAGGGTTATATCGTTTCATACAATACTGGAGAATATTAACATTTTAACTGGGTGTAAATCTTACACTTACTAGGAATATGAACTTGGTTAAGTTAATACACCATCTAGCCTTAGTTTATCTATCTGTTAAATGAAGATAAGATTTTCTGCACTGTTGCTGAAATATGCTGATGTGGGCATATAGTCGGTACCCTACAGAAGTACAAAGTATTATGATAGATGATCTCCCAGATTAGGCGATACAGTACTGAATTTGGAAGCTTTACCAGATCAAAGCTTGCAGCCAAGCTCTATCATCTATTAGCTTTGTTTCAGGCATGTTCCGCTTTCTGCTTGAATCCCTACTTTGTAAAATGAGGATGCCCTACGCACAGGAGCGAAGATAAACTAGTGTATGTACTGTGACTGGCACACAGTGGGCCTTCCTTGTCCAATGACTGTCTCACTTGAATAGAAACACCTTCATAAAGATAAAAGGGACCCTTTCATACTTGCCTGATGCCCAAACAACTGGCCTCAATTCTCAGTGCCTCAGAATCGCTTCCTGAGATCATGCTCTCACCTGGAAGTTGTCTCATCTAGAAAGCTGTAACTGTGCTTAGAACATTCATTTATTACCTGTTGCCTGATGGTCAAGTCAGCTGTCTTGTCCCTTGTACATCTTGCCCTACGTGCTTAAGGGGTACCTGGGAACATATTCTGGGGTCCTCTCTTGACAATGGGCTTCCTTCTTCCTGCCACTGCCTTGTCTGCCTCCTCAGGTCAGACAATATGCTCACCAAATCAAAATTCAATCTATTAACTATACTCCGTATATCAACAGTAATATTTAAAGATAATATAAATTTAAGTACATCTATTATTCTAAAATTTTTTTTCTAAAGAATGTCATTCCATGAAACAACAGAATCAAACCATATTCTGAAAATTATTTTTTCCTTAAAATTTTTCCTAAAAGGAAAAAAAATGTACAAATGAGCTTGACACAATAGATGGATGGATGGATTGTTATAAAAGCTGTAAGTGCCTCCAATAAACTGATTAAAATGTTAATTTCAGAAAAAAAAGTAATGCTCATTGTAACAAAAAAAATCTAAAGGAAAAAGGAAAAGTTACCAGCAGTGCCACATCCCAAAAATAATTATTGATATTATCTCATGGATTAATACCCAAACTTTTTCCTATGGACAAAATTATTTGTCATTAATAAATTATACTCAATGTTGTGGTTAAAACACTAAAAAAAAATATTTTTTTCCTAAAAGAATTCCATTATATTTCACAATTTATTCACTTTCTGGTTATGGTGTACTGATATTGCTATCATAAAACAACAACTACAAACTTACACATTTCTTAGTGCATGTCTGTAAGAACGTTCTTCTCCGGGCTGTATAAACATACATAGACATGGAATTGCTGATAAATCACCTTTGACAAAATACAGCCAAACCTTGTTTTGCAATTTATACTCTCTACAAAGTATGAACATTATTACTGATCCATATTGTAATAATATCAGATTTTAAAATCTCTCTTTGCTCCCATGTTTCAGTATATATGACAGATATCATCAAATAGCATTTTCCATTCCAATCTTGCAGACATTCATTTAGCACAGGCAGGCCCTGTGCCAGGTCTTATGTGACTTGCTTTGTTACAGTAACCCCAATTATCCTTAAGATACAAGCATGTGTCATGCCTGGACACGAAGAGAGGGTGTGTGTGGGGGTGTGTGTAAGGAAAAGGAGCTCTCCTTTTATCATTTTCCCACAATGGTTTTAAAAACCCTAAGTGTGCAGCACTGACCCACGGGTAGGAGACAGAAAGGGGAAGAGGATATGGCTCTGGGTGTCCAAAGAGCTTGGCTGTTCCTGCTGCTCAGACAAAACTTGGGGGGGGGGGGGAGATGGAGGAGCTCCTGGGACATGTTGGTTCATTTGTCCTTACAGCTTCTCTGTCTAGGTCTTTCCAAATGTCAAACTTTTGCTATTTTGTATTATTTGCTAAGCCATGCAAGATATAGATATATATATCATTCGTTATATATATATATTTATCTAGAATGAATACTACCAGGAGGGGAAGGGGAAGGTCAGGAGAAAAGAGGGGAACCAATCACAAGGATCTACATATATAAACCCCTCCTCCCTGGGGGTCAGACAAAAGAAACCTGAGTGAAGGGAAACATTGGTCAGAGTAAGACATGAAAAAATAATTATCAAAGGTTCGTGCGGGGAGGGTGCAGGAAAAATGAGGAGCTGATACCAAGGGCTCAAGCAGAAAATGTTTTGAAAATGATGATGGCAACAAATGTACAAATGTGCTTGACACAATGTATGTATTATGATAAGAGCTGTATGAGCCCCTAATAAAATGATTAAAATATATATGCAAACATTAAAAAAAAACAAACAAACAGGATTACAGTCTCAGAAACCCAGAGTCAGTTCTGTCCTATAAGGTCATTATGAGTCAGAATCAACTTAGTGGCAGTGAAAGTTTGTTATGAATAAATGCTACCTTTATTAAATACTGTAAGTTTAAAAAAAATGACTACTACATAAAGATACAAAAGTTAAAATTAAGTAAGCTTGTTAACTACAAGTGATGCTAATAAAAGATTTAGGAACTAGTTAAGATCTAGCCAGAAAATTAAAAAAAAAAAAAAACACCCCAGAATTTCCCCCCCCCAAAGCTGTGTATTTAAACTTTTTGCAAAATGAATCGCCTTCAAAGTACTCTCCATTACACTGAATACATTTGTCAAATCTGCAATTCCATTCTTGGAAACATAAACTCATCTGTTTGGATGGCTGACAGCACCTCCCTTGTTTTTTTCTTCACCTCCTCTCTGTCATCAAATTGCTATCCTTTCATGTCCCCCTGTATTCTCAGAAACAAAAAAGTCACAGGGAATGAGGTAAGGTGCATGGGGCAAAAGAAGCATGCTGTTTGTTTGTTTTTGCCAAAAACTGGTGCACTGAGATGGCTACGTGAGCAGGTGCATTGTCATGGTGGCAAAACCAGTCCCCCGTCTGCTATATATCAGGCTTTTGCCTCACACTGTTATGCAATCTTTTCAGCACCTCTAACTCAGTGGTTCTCAACCTTCCTAAGGCCACCACCCTTTAATACAGTTCATGTCGTGGCGACCCCCAACCATAAAATTATTTTCCTTGCTACTTCATAACTGTAGTTTTGTTACTGTTATGAATCGGGTGAACCCTGTGACAGGGTCGTTCAACCCCTAAAGGGGTCGTGACCCACAGGTTGAGAACCACTGTTCTAAAGCTTGATTAACAGTCTGACCTGGTGAAACAAACGCCAAATGCACTATCCTCCTCACATCAAAAAACAAATGAGCATCATCTTGATCTTTGATTTTACTTGACAAGCTTTTGGGCAAGGTGACAATGGCTTCTTCTAACTGGCTTGAGTGATGATTGCTTTCAGGGTCCTAAGAATAGCACCATGTCTCATCATCAGTGATGACCTTGGAAAAAAAGGGCTGGGCCACTTCCGAGCCGCTCTTCCAAAGCACAGCATGTTTCCACCTGATGCTTTTTCCTAGTGAGTCAGAACCCGAGGCTCAAATTTCACAAGGACCCTTCTCATCCCCAAATCTTCTGTTAAAATTCGCTGCACCGAGCTCCAAGATAGTGCAGATAACTTTCCCATCTCTTCAATGGTCTGTTGTCAGTCTTCGTGCAAAGTGCACAAATTTTGTCGACATTTCATCCATTCAGGAAGTTGATGGATGTGCAGAATGAGGTTTGTCATCAATCAACATTTCGCCTTTTTTGAAACAAGAAAACCACTCGTACATTGAGTTTTCCCCATAGCACCATCCTTGTAAGTTGTGTTCAACATCATGATAGTTTGCGTGGCATTTTTCCCAAGCAGGAAAATTTCACAGCCACATGCTGTTCTGTTAAATTGGCGATCACAAAAACAAGGTTTGAACAAACTGCTTTTATAAAAAAATTCAGTGGCCAGAGCGAACCTCTGAGGCAACGCCCCTGGGTGCAGTCAGTCAGAGTGAGTGCTCGATGTGCACCCACACGTGTGCTCAGCGGGACTTTCTTTCTGGATACCCCCTCGTACACCACAGGACTTCAAAAGTTCATGGGAAAACAGAATTGAAAGATCATGGAATTTTCCTACATACTTTTACTTTCTTCTATGTAATTCTCTACTGCTTAATTGTTCAAAAGCTAACCTGTCTTAAGTAATTTACACTGCTCAGTCATCCTGAGCCTCCCCACCTAAATATCTAACTTAATCATTACAAGAAGACTAAGCCTTAATTGAAAAGAGAGACAGAGGGAGAACGTTAATCCAATATTACCTTTTAAATGTATCAAAAACACCTGAATCATCAAAATTAATGGCATCGGGGTGTCCAGGAGGTAGACATACGTCGCCCACATGGATTTCACAACATGGAATGCCATGCTGCACCACAGTCAGGCTTGGATAAAAGGATGACCAACCTAAAGTTAAATCAAACAATTGTCACACAGAGTGAAAGGGACAGCAAGTACGCCAAGCATTCACTGAACAAGAGACACTCCTGTGTCTTAAGAATGAATTACTTCAAAGAAACCCCACGTGTTACAGAGCAGAGCTGCTCCACAGGATTTTCTTGGTCGAACTCTTTACAGAGGAAGACTGCCGAGTCTCTAGGTCTTTCATCGGCAGTTCCAGTGGTGGTTCACCCGCCAACCTTAAGGTTAGCAGTTGAGCACAAACTGTACTACTCAGGGGCCTTTAAGGTACAAGTAATAAGAAAGTGATGATGACTGGGTCCATGAAACAAATTTCTGAATTATGAAACTTTACTTGTATTGTAGTAAGGTTCTAAAAAACGATTTAAGTTTAAAACATATTTGGTGATTCTAAGCCAAGATGTGATTAGCCAGAATGTTCCATTCCCCAAATTACTAGCAAGGTCACAGAGAGCTTACTGTATATGCAGTATGCTACATGATGGAAAATGTTTTCATACACACAGTAAGTAGAGTTCCACCTGATTGCTGCTAAGAAACCTAAGTAGCATTAGATATTTATTACAAGCATTTCTATGGCAATCGTACACAGTTGGAAAGAAAAATTCCTTTTTTTTTTTAAATCATCAAAGCCATAAAACATAATTAAGGACTTAGGAAGCTTTTCTTACAAAAATGTTACTACAAATTCAGTTGAAGCCCTACCTTTATTTTTAACGTAGAAAGGGTGGTCCAGCTTACACTCTACGGTAAGTAACCCATCTTCCACTGTACCAGGGTCAAAAGTCAACTTCAGCACAGACTCGCCGAATGATACGCTTTCTTCGTGTGATAACAACCTTAGCCCATCAGAACCATAGCCCTGAAAACACACGCACAGAGGGAATGAATTGGAAATGTACAATTGAACAATTAATGAAGTTCCTATTACGTGCAAGACTGGTGGAAAAAGTAAAAACAAACAAGGCAGGATCTTCCCTGTCTGCAAGGGGCTTTCACCCAGGAGTGAAGAAAAGACACATGTACAATCATTTAGTAGCATACGATTGGGGATTAACACTTTAATTCAAGCACAACTAACACTAATGGAGCTCACTAAAGGAAGGCATTAATTCCAGGAGAGAGCGGTGCTCGAGAAGATTCCCAGTTCCGTTCAAAGCACAATCTAAAAGAAGAACGAGAAGGGGGAAGACAGCCATCTTTGGCATCAGAAAAATTTTATCAATATGACTGTCAATTTTAAAATAGTAACAATGAGGGTACAATAAAACAGGTACAACTCAGGTAGTCAATTAAGTTAAGGGTACAAAGAACACCACTGTAGTCCTGGAACTAACGAGTACGTAAAACCTGAACTTATGCAGCGGTGCAGAATTAGATTAAACCTAAATTCAAGCAATATTTATTGGCATTTAGTATGTGCCAGGCGCCAAGTTCTAGAAATATAAACATGAATATGATCCCAAATCACACAAGAGACAAACATGCTAACAAGCTAGCTATAGTGCCCAGTCATAATTAAACTAGAGCCTGAACAAAGAATGAGAAATGAATTGTAGAAAAACTTTATGGTAATAAAATTGCCCGACCTATTAGGAAGGGTGAAAGAGAATTACAAAAGACAATTACAGTTTTAAATCTGGACATCAAGAAGGACAGTATCTTTTAAATAAGAAGGAAAGAATAAGCCAGAGTGGGAAAAAGAAAGCAAGCCAAGTTTTGGTCATCTGAGCAGAATCTGAAGAATAGATTAGTACTTCACAGAGATGTTCAACATGCAGACAGACATGTACAGGGCTACAGACTAGTATTTGTAAATAAACGAATGACAGTATAATGACTAGAGGAGTCCTGGTGTCATACTGGTTAAATGCCCAGCTGCTGATGGGAAAGTGGTCAGTTGGAACCCACCAAAGACCTGGTGATCAGCTCTCATCAAGATTTAAGTCTAGAAAGCCCTATGGGGCTGATCTACTCCATAAGTTAGAATCAGGTCAACAGCACCTTGAAACAATGTATCCTCAGGGCTACTCAAGTGAAAGCTAATTCAGTCCCATTGAACAGATCAGGACCCCTGATCCGTGTAACGCCCAGAGGTTAGCAATCTAAGGTCAGTCACACAGTTTCTGGACTCAGGTACTGCCTGCTTTCCCCTTCCCTCTACTGACAATACCCATACAGATAAGCTGGTGAAGAAAGAAGCAGGGCAGAATCCTGTGGAACATTTAATAGGGTGGGCAGACAGGAAGCCAGCCAAGAAGGCTGAGACCTAGGATCTAGGACAGCGGTCCTCAACCTGTGGGTCGAGACCCATTTGGGGGCCGAACGACCCTTTCACAGGGGTCGCCTGATTCGTAAAAGTAGCAAAGAAAATTTTATGGTGGGGTTGGGGAGGGGGATGTCACCACAACATGAGGAACTGTATTAAAGGGTCGTGGCATTAGGAAGGTTGAGAACCACTGATCTAGGAGAACTGGGGCACAGCTGAGCTACACAAATTGAGGGATGGCGATTTCAAGAACTAACTCCTGTGTCACATTTGCAGAGAAGTCAAACAGAGCAAGCAAGTCTCTGGTCCTAGAAATTAGAATAAAGCTAAATACCTTTGAAAGCCTAGTGGTAGCAGCTGAAGCTAGCTTCTATCGTGACATAAGTAAAACAAGGGAGGGAAGAAACTGAAGACAGCCAAGTCAGGACTACTTTTCTCACGAGACTGAATGTAGGGATCAGAGGCAGGATTCAAAAGGAATCCTAAACAAGCACATGTTGCAGGGCTGTTTTTTCTGCCTACAGTGCAGGTGGGAGAAATTTTAAATGTTCAAAGCGAAAGTAGTCCAATGTTTACTTTACTGTTGCCCACTACTGCTTGTGTTTCCAGCCTTAGAGAATGTCAGTGTTTAAAAATTAACAACAGAATCAACTCACAATTACTCAGGAGAATTAACCTATCACTTTGGGGGCTATCTAAAATAAGCCCTTGGTTCATTTATTTACTTGTTTTCATTGTTTTATTTTGTTTTTTAAATGCCAGGTTAGCTTACTTTGATATAAAATGCAAACTGATAAGAAACAGGTTTTTGCATAATGAGAAAGGTACCCAACGTCACTATTCCTCTCCATCAGGCTAGGCAACCAAGGGTCGTCACATAACCTCTGCTTAAAATACAAGTGATGTAAATAAAAAAATAAAAAAAGTACAAGTGATGTAAAGAACACACGTGGAGATTCAAGCTTTAAGTAAACAGCAGACTTCATACAGAGAGATTTTCAAAGGATTTGGAAGAATGCCTCATATACCTTGTGAGTGCTCATTTGCAGAGCATCCTCAGTATCACAGCCCTCGGCTCTAGCAACTTCTTCAGCGTCCTGCCAGTCCCTGTTGCTTCCCTGATGAAAGCACAGCCGTGTGCCTGGGGTGTGAGGAGAAGACACACGTTATGTGTGTGACCAGCCTATTACACAAGGGGGCTGCGGGAAAGTCTTTTACCTTTTAAAAAGCAGTGCCAAGCAGTTGAAGGCCAGGAATTGCACCATCCCAAGTCATCATCATCCGAGAGGGAGGACATGCAGAAGATGCCAGATTCTGACTCGCTATTTGCCTTGTAAGGGAATATTGCAGACATTCTTAGCTTGATTTTTCAAATCTGTCTTGTTAATGTCTGTTTTTATCTCAAGCCAACATAACTAATGGATAAGTTGTTGTTCTTCATGTTGGGGAAAATACAATGCCTTCCAAAAATGAAACTTAGAGAAGTATGGGAAGTTTCAAACGCCTGTGCTGTTTCTGTTTTCAAGCCAGTAAGAGCGCTCCATGTCGAATCAAATCCAGAACCACAAGAACTGCCATTCCCATCTTTCTTAAAGGAGAACAGTTCATCAATCTAACCGTTATGCAAACCAGACTGTGAGCACACTCACCCTTTCATGTCTGACTGGGGTTTCCTCCTTCCAGTGGTGATGAGGGAAGGCAGGCTCACTCTTGGAAGAAGAGGACACCGGTGGAGGGCGTGCATAGGAATGTAAACTTTTACTAGTTGCTATGATGTGCACAGGAGATGATCTAAAACAAGGCAGCCGTTTTAATGACAATATTTAGGGTTTTTAAAAATTAAAAACAATCTTTCCTCTTGATGAAAAAACTTCATCTGTAAAATTCCAGAGTCACGTATAAGACATAAGATACTAGGTAAAGGCAGCAACATTTCATCTATATATGCTGTTCCTTAACCCAAATTCTTACCTGACCCTCCTCCTCCATTCTAGACATTAACTCCCCCCTAGATTCACAGTGCACTTGAAAAGTACTATATACTTTCACTTACTTATGCAACCTACTTTTTATACATATATAAAAATGTTTTCATTCATAAAAGATTATGTCCTTCTGCATGGATCCCTATCAATTTCTTACTTCCACCTTTATAAATATTCAAACAGTCTCACTATGAATAAAATATGGCTAAGCCTACAGCAGAGCCCCTGGGGCCACAACAGTTAAGTGTTGAGCTATTAGCTAAAAAAGCTGGTGGTCTGAATCACCAGCAGCTCTGCAGAAGACTCAGCGATCTGCTCCCTAACGGAATCCTGTACTTTTGCACAAACAATACTAGCCTGCTATGTTTGTTTGCCACCCCCTCCCTACCTCTGAAGGCAATTTTTGTAAGTGCTGCTATGCCGTTTTTTAATGGTGCCCTTGAAGCATAAAATTAGCATAGCTCATGTACAAAAATAATCCTCAGGGGAGTTAGGGAACAGGTGGTAAACAAATGTAAAAGGGTGTTATGTTTGTAAAATTAGGGTACAGCCCCAAACCCTATGAAGCAGGCAGTTCTGTCCTATACGGTTGACACACAGGAAATGCAGTAATATGAGCAACACTCAATTCTCACCAACTACTTCTCACAGATAAAACGAAATATTCAAGTGAGAATGCTTGGATTTACTACAGCAGAAAGCAGCTTATTTACAACTTCGTCATTGGACACCATTTTTAATATGTGTGTTGAAAATAAACCATGTAAGGTCTAGTTATCTCTCAATAGCGCTATTTAAAAAGTATTAACTTTCTTTCGCCATTCCCCTCAAAAGCTCCTTTCAGGCTAAGTTCCTTTTAGAGTACATGGAACTCAAGAAACTATGAAGATCCTATCCTTACAAAAACCTCAGCTATTCACAGGAGGGGCGACAGTAAGTCTATAAAGGATGAAGTTGTAATGTCCATGGATTCTGGAGTTTGGGAAAGCAGCAGAGAGGAAGACAGCAAGGTGGGGGGAGGCAGGCATGGGGCGGGTCTCAAGTTCTGAGATGCCAAATAAGGAGGTGGTCCTTAAAAAGGGGAGGGGCGGATTTTATGCAGTCTGTACTAAACCTCTGCTACAGGAGTAGGAGAAACATTTTCCGATTGTTCCCTTGTCCACAACTCATTTTCTTAAACACTGGCCTGGGTCTATCAAACAGGGGTTTTTACCAATGAAGTCAAGTTTTACAAGTTCAGTATCATAATACTAGCCAATTTTTATATTAGCAATTGAATAAATAATATAAGGCCATATAAATTGTGAAAGTAAACCAGCCTAAGCAAACCAGCCAAAAAAGCCCTCAGGGTTGCTAACAGTCTCAAAGAGAACTGTGGTTCATTTGACAAATACAATTTTCATTTCTATCATAAATGTAGAAATGTATAATGAAACTGTCTCTTGGTCTCATGTTTAGATAACAGTAAAACATTTACAAACATTTTCTACTCTGTTAGTTTTATTGGCTTTTCCCAATTTCTAATTATGAAATTATAGCACTGAGAAATTTTTAAGAAAAGGAGCTGAAATCTAAAAGCTTTCCAGATTTAGCATCCAATTTAAGTAAACTATTCATTAGATGGTTAACAGCATTATTTCCTGTAAAGCTGGAAAAACCTTTTAAAAATGGTTTTTAATGATTAAGTTTATAATATGAATATAATCAATGTTCTTACCTGTTGTAAAATGAGCACTGCATAAGGGGACTTTGTGGACTGGTAGCAATATTTGCTAATTCGGTTAACCAATCCACCTCATTTTCACGGTAAGTATTTTCTGTTATGTCTGAGGTATTTTGATTCCAAGATGGTCTTGGATATTCTTGATGTGAAACTTCGGAACTTAGCTGGAATATGGCAGATTGGGTAGGATCACTTTGAACAGCCTGAAGTTCAGGAAGGTCATCTGCAAATAAAAAGACAAAATTACAAAAAGAAAATGATTAACAATGCATGCAGTAGTATAACAACAGTTGGGCCAGTATACATGCAGTTGGGATAGAAGTCCTCAAATTTAACTATTTTGGTAAAGGAAAATCACAAGTTAACAATTTAATTTGAAAACTGTTTTCTGGAATGAAACAAGTTCCTTTTACATCACAGGGTACACAGAGCTTGATGGAAAAGTAAGCCAATGGCTATAGATGTGGTAAAGGCTTTACTACCTAAAACATATATTTACTATAAACTGTCGACATTGGAAAAATAGGGTTCATTATGTGTTTTCTGAGTTCTCCCCTTTTGCCCCACTCCCCACCCTCCAGAGATTTTTATAGCCCATCTGGGAGTCATCCATACACTACTTGGACACGTTTAGATTTAATGTGCTATAAGGAATAAGGCACTGTGTGTTGTGTGTGTGCGTGCTGTTCTTAAATTACACTGAATTATTACCATATATACTTGAGTATAAGCCAACCCGAATATCAGCAAAGGCACCTAATTTTACCACAAAAAAACATAAAACGTGCTGAAAACACTTGGCTTATACATGAGTATATATGGTATATAGATTACAGCAATAATAAGAATAATTTGCTAAAGATAAGAATACAAATTATATTATGAATTTTTAAGGTAGTATTTATTCGACTCTGATTTATAACTAACCTGCTTTTTACTAGGAACTTCTGAAATATAGTAATATCAATGGTTATTTTTTCTCATGTTTTTGAAAAATCGTTCAAGACAGACTTACAGCTTCTCAAGATTTGAAAAAAAAAAAAAAAACCCTTAGAAACATTATCAACTATCACTTATTGACATACTGAGGCTAGAATATTAAAAGGAAGACTGAATTCTTAAAAGGGGGTAAAAAAAACACAGAAAATAAAAGAGAGGGAGGCACATTTTGCAAGCCTTAAAAAAATTCCTCTTATGAAGCACATATCTACAAATTATAGGTCCACTGGGTCGCTTCAGTATACATAGAAACTCTTCTAGTCATGGGAGTTTTCCTACAACGTTTCCTTTCATGTACACTTTATTTCTGATCCAGGCAAGTAAACCAGAGTATCCTACTAAAACTGAAATGCCTTAATTCTCTAATTCAGAATATATATCTATAAAACTGACTAGAAGGTACCCTCTTTCATGAAACAAACAGTTCTGAAACACCACCATTTTAAAAATCCAGTTCGCAGTTAATATACAAAGCCACTGCCACCAGGCAAGTCCAACTCACAGCGACCACACAGCACAGAGAACTGCTCTGTAGTTTCCAAGGCTGCAAATCTTTTCAGAAGCCAACCAGCTCATCTTTCTCCCATGGAGCAGCTGGTGAACTCAGACCCCTGACCTTCTCAAGAGTTAGCAAGACTCACATGCAAATACAGGGATTTACCTCTCTTCCATTACCTTTCCTTGGACCATCACATTGTTATTTATTGTAAAAGGTTTTCTGTCCCTCAAGTTCATAGAATTTTTTTTTTTAATTACTTGTTATTGTTTTCCTTTTTAATTATTTCTTATTCTGGAACCACTGAGAGGTGGGAAAAGTATGGGCTGTAAATTCCTGATTCCCTCCTCTTGGAACTTAAAATGTGAAGATTAAGAATGAACTACCTGGTTCAAATATACTCCTTGTTCAATAGGAGACCCTTGGCAGCATTTGAACAGGTGTATCTCAGGATTTTTAGGATCCCCAAATCTCAAACACTACTCTATATGATCTCCATTTCATCATTTAGAAAATGAGGATAATTACATATATGCCGCAGTGTTTCTATAAATACTAGGAAAACTACATATTATGTGGGACAAAAGCCAAGCTGCAAAGCTGGGCAAGGAGCCAGGGTTACTCATTAGCTAAGTGGTTAACTCCTGAACGCTGGCCTCAAAGCAGTGCGATTCAAAATCATACCTGGGCAATCCTACCACAGCTATATGCCACCTATTGTTGGAACGGCTCAAAACAGTATGTCACATAGCTCTGGAGTGGCTCAGGAACAGCGATAACTACAAATGCCACCCTCAAATGCCATGAGTCCACTGTCATTTTCCCATCAAGCCAGCCAAACATCCAAAGAGTGGCCAAGCATAATTTATGGAGCTCAATGGATATTTCAAATGAAGTGTCCTTTGAAAAGCCACACAGTACGATTGTTTCCCTAAAGGTATTTAACAACCCAGACTCTCCCACACAAAACAAAGCAGCTTAATCACTTTAAAAAAAGAATCCATGTAGCCAAAGGCCCAACCTCTTGCTATTTTTACTAACATTTTAAAAGGAGTAGCACCACCTGGTCCAGGGCAGGTGAGACCTAACCTAAATGAGCATTAATCTGCACCTGAGTAAAATTCCGAGAGAATTGGAGAAGGTGCTTACCAAGTTCCATGTGCTCATCACAAGAGTTATATCCAGGTGAGGATGGCAGATTCTCATTACACTGCAGCAGCTCCATCGAGTCGCTCACCCCTGAAGCTCTCTTGTCCATGACCAGCAGGAGTTTCTGTACTGCATTAGGCATCTGGTTTGTCTTCACTTCCCACACCATGTTATGGTGCTCCGACTTCAAAATAAGAGAACACATGTCAAGCCCTATCTATGATTTTTATGTAAGCCATAACCACTAAGAGATATCACTGCTTTATTATTTTATCTGAATCTCTTTAGACCAGGCCAACTCCTTGATATTGACCTACAATTGTGCTGTCAGCATTAAATTACACCTATATTTCAAAGGATTCTTATTTTAGATTAAGTATTTTCTTCTACAGAATCATTATACCTCATTTAATAGTGCTTCGCTTCATTGCACTAATCTGATATTGTGGTTTATTTTATTTTTACCAATTGAATGTCTGGGGAAACCCTGCATTCAGGAAGTCCATTGACACCATTTCCCCAGTAGCAAGTGCTTGCTTTGTACCGGGCACAGCTGGTCATGCCCACAATACTTTGTGTTCTCATAATGCTACTGCTCAATTTTCACAGAGCAGTGTGGGAAAGAGTACATTTTTTAATAAAAATATAGTATAAATCCAACTTTTTTTAAATTAAAAGATCATTTTGTTGGGGGGCTCTTACAACTCTTATTAACAATCCTTACATCAATTGTATCAAGTATATTTGTACATATGTTGCCATCATTCTTTTCTAGACATTTACTTTCTTTTTAAAATCATTTTGAGGACAAATACAAGCTATTATCACAATCCATACATACATACATTGTGTCAAGCACATTTGTACATTTGTTGCCATCCTTATTTTAAATCATTTTCTATTTGAGCCTTTGATATCTGCTCATGATCGGTTCACCCTTTCTCCCCCCACCTTACCCTTACCCTCCTGGTATCGCTACTCCTATTATTGGTCCTGAGGAGTTTATCTGTCCTGGATTCTGTGTTTCCAGCTCTTATCTGTACCATGCACATCCTCTGGTCTAGCGGGATTTGTAAGGTAGAATTGGGCTCATGATAGATAGCGGGGGGTGGGGTAGGGGCATTAAATAAGAAAAGTTTCATTGGTGCTATATTGTACCCTGACTGGCTCCTCTCTTCTTGTGACTCTTCTGTAAGGGGATGTCCGATTGTGTACAGATGGGCTTTGGGTCTCCACTCTGCACTCCCCCTCATTCACATCAATATGATTTTTGTTCTGGGTTTTAAATCTTTTTTTTTAAATTTTTTATTTTTAAAATCATTTTATTGGGGGCTCATACAACTCTTATCACAATCCATACATACATCAAATTGTGTAAAATGCATTTGTATATTCATTGCCCTCATCACTTCAGCCCCCAGCATTAGGTCCTCACTTTTCCCCTCCCTCCCCATTAAATCGAACTTTTTTTTTTTTTTTTAAATCAAACTCTTATATGCACTGGGAAACCAACAACTCTGTGACAGGCTTTCTTGTGCCAGACGATTTACTGTGGTGGGCCGGAACCAAATCTGTCCCATCTCTAGGTCTGCCTACACATGTATTTCTTCTTTAATGTGGTAGCTCTTTGAGTCACAATTCATTGTGACCAATAAACAATTTATTTCCTAACTACAGTGTATAAGTGGCTCTATTAATTGCAATGTCTGCCCTCAATGATACCCAAATTTATCACAGATCTCAAGGAATGTACACTTTAATAGAAAAATAAAACTACAGTTCTACAGAGCAGGGCTTAACTATCAATGTGTAAAGAGGAAGAGAAACTCCCCTGAGCAAATCCAGAGCTCGTAAAGCTCTCAGGGAGATTAGGACAATGTGAACTACTTATCACTACACAGGAAGACAACCTTGCTGTTAGGTGGTCATGGGCACTAAGCAGGAAAAGCTGAATTGTGAGTACTAGTTTAGGAAAATGGTTTTTGTCTTTAGTAGACAAAAAGGACTGAAATCAAGCCACCTAAATTCATATCCAAGACTTGGCACTTACTAGTTATGTGCACTGGGCTATTAACTTTAAAAGCTTTATGCCTTATTTATAAAATGAAATAAGAAAAGCCCCTAACTCACAGTTGTGTTCGTACCTCTCAATGCTCAAAGCTATCAAAACATGGGTCTTGAGATCAATGAGGCTGTGCTTTCAACCCACTGTGTAGTACAAGCAAGCCTAGACTTAAAGCAGCAGATCACAGCTTTGCCCTAGTGGCATCTCACAGGGTTCTGACATCCACCGTCACAGAGGCCGCAGAGTACAAGGGCCCCCTTGCGTGGCCTTTCTATAGCCAAAAAGTCTTTACAGGGGCACACAGCCTCATCTCTCCCCAGGGAGGAGGGACTTGTGGGTCAGACTGCTGACCTTGTGATTGGCAAACCCACCTTGTAGCCCACCGCAAGGCAAGGGCCCTCACAGGGCTGCAGGGAGAATTCAGTGATATGAAAACAAAATGCGTATCCTACAGGTAAATGCGCAGTTTCCAGTCTCGCATATTTTCCTTTCAAAATTACTTTGGAGGAAGCAAGCTAGGTCTCTGATGTAGTAAAGCAATGTTGGAAGGATTCTTATGCAAAAATACTGCCCCCACTCCCTTCATTTACACCAATTAGGTATTCTCAAAAGAGCAGAAATTCTCATTCAATAATTCACAGTCTTTAGTGGATGGGGAGGGTGAGTTCTATTATCCTGAAAACTTTGGGAAACAAAATCTTGGAAAATGATCTTTAAAATAAATAAATACAACCACACACCAAAAAAAAGCTGGGATATGTGGAGGGTGAAGAGGAAGACAGGACTAGATAGCTAAGTCTCAGTGAATGAGAAAGAAAATTAGAGTTTTACAAAAGGCCCAAACGAACCTCCTACATGCAGAGCATTCTCACATACTTCATCTAATTAGTTACACCTCAACACAGCTGTGCAATTAATTTGCATACGAAAGGAAAATGGGGCGACAGGGCATATTTTCTTTTTAAGAGGAAAACTTGAGAAAGACAAAAAGACACAGACCAACACAGATTAGACTCCTATTTTCAAGTGCCCGTTATTCCCTGTGGACCCTGGTGGTGTGTGGTTACCCACTGGCAGCTGTTAAGGTTAGGGGAGCTAAACTGCTCCCACAAAAAGGTAGTCTCAGAACTCCCCAGAGACAGTTCCACCCTCTCCTATAGAGCTGGAATCGACTAGACAAGAGTTCTTGTTTTGGGTCTTCCTGAGGATCCCTGGTGGCACTGTGGGTTAAGTACTGGGCTGCTAATCTCCAATTTGGTGGTTCAAACTCATTCATTCATCACACTGTGAAAAGATGCTGCTGGCTGTTCCTGTAAAGATTTAGTCTCAGAAAACTTCCCCAGGGTCACTGAGTCAGTCAACTCTGACAACTAAACCCTTACCTTTTCATCCATTTCCATGGCAATAAGCTCTCTCACTCTCTTTTTATTCTTGGGGGTTTCTTCGGCCAGCTCATATCACCATCCATACATCCACTGCGTCAAGCACATTTGTACACAGGTTGCCATCATCAATTTCAAACATTTCTACTTGAGCCCTTGGAATCAGTTCATTATTTTTTCCCCTCCCTCCCTTCCCCATTCTTTTTCCCTCCCTCATGAACTCTTTATAATTTATAATTATTTTTTTCTCATGTCTTACACTGACCGGTCTCCCTTCACCCATTTTTCTGTTGTCCATCTCCCTGGGATGGGGTTATATGTAGATCATTGCTCTCTCCTAATTTTGAAGAACTTCTATACCATGTCTGGACTACACACTCAAAATTGTTTGAGGGAATGAAGAGAAGGCAATTTCCAATTAACATATTTCTTACATGCTGTATTCAAAATAGAAAACACAATTACAAGCTAAAACTAGCCTCTTCAAGGAACTATACCAAATACAATTGTCTATTAACAAAGCAGCTAGGGTACCTTAATGACCTTTATTAAAGAATATTTGCAGTAGAAACTACTTCAAGCACAGCATTTCAGAGAAATGTCTTTACATATCTAATTTTCTTCTGTGCCAAAGGGAAAAACATCCCCTGCCCCCCAAGTGGGTAGAATATACCACTTGGTAAAATATACCACTGTGGAACATCATTTAGCACTTGTACAACCGAGAACAATTTCATCTCTGTGCCACTTTTCCTATCTGTAAAGGACCTAGTAGCTACCTACCTTTCATTATTCTTATAGATTTAAAGAAAATAAGCAAGTCTTACACCCTTCCTTAGCTCCAAAGCACTCCTCTATTTCATCATCTCCTGATGCCCAATCACATTTCAGGTAGCCAACTGTCTTCAAGTCTATTCGGCTCATAGCAACACTATATAGGACAGAGCAGAATTGCCCTGAGCGTTTCTAAGGCTATAAATCTGTACAGAAGCAGACTGCTCCATCTTTCTTTCACAGAGCAGCTGGTGGGTCTTCGCTATGGCACCATCAGGATGCCTCCTCAAGGAGACAAGTTCGCATAAGCGAGACACCAATGTGATTGCATACAAATGTAGATATTGATAGATATCAAAACTCATAATACAAGAACTATTACAAAACATTTTACTAAAGTGCTGAGTTCAAATTGTATTTAAGATGAATTGTATGTAAAGTCTTGAAATGTTCTGAAATCATTTAAGAATTTATATGTGAAAATAAAAACCTTGCTAGTTTTTCTAAACTTGATAGCAATCTTAAACATTTTTACATTACTTTTAATGATCTGTGAATCAGAAAGAACTTTGTTAAAGCTATTGGCAATAACTTTTATAAATAATTCAGAAAAAATATTTTTCTAATTTCTCTACAGATAATAGTGAGTTGTAATAACAAAAAGCACCCAAGTGTGTGCTGACCAAAGCATGAAGCATTATGAATATTAATGATGTGCCAGGCAGTATAAGCTAAATATTCCATTGTGTTATTTCTTCTGAATTTTGTGATTCATCGAGCATTTGTCAGTCTCCAAAATTTGTAATTGGTTGTGATTTGTCCTTCTGAATATAAACTTTCATACTGAAACTATAATACACTAATGTACAAGGCACTGTCTCAGAATTAAGAAAGTAGCTTCTTGTAATTTATGACAAAAGAAGTTGGGATATTTTCATTTTATTTATTTTTTAATCATTTTATTGGGGCTCATACAACTCTTATCACAATCCATACATA